GCTGCCCCTGGTGGCCCCTGATAAACAGGAGCCCTGGGGGTGGAGGGAAGGGGGTGGGGGGCGTTGTGAGGGGTATCGTGATGGGGAGGGGGTTTATGTTGTTTGGTGAGGGGCTTTGCAGCACCTTTCCTAAGGGTTTGGCCACGCAGGGGGGGCTTGAGGAGCCCCCTCTCCCACCCCTGCTGCTCCCCAAGGAGGAGGGAAGGAAGGGGTCTGAGTCTTCCCAAGGGGTAGGAAGGAAGGGGTCTGAGTCTTCCCAAGGAGGAGGGAAGGAAGGGGTCTGAGTCTTCCCAAGGAGTGGGAAGGAAGGGGTCTGAGTCTTCCCAAGGAGTAGGAAGGAAGGGGTCTGAGTCTTCCCAAGGAGGAGGGAAGGAAGGGGTCTGAGTCTTCCCAAGGAGTGGGAAGAACAGCTGGGAAGCAGGAAGGGGGGTAACATTTCCCCACTGACCACCCCATTCTGAGCCACCAAGGTGTGGAAGTCATTCCCAAAAATCCCCCCCTCGGCACGGCAGGAGCCAGGGGAAGAATAAGGGAGGGAATGAAAAGCCCCGGAGTCTCGGGTGAGAGCATGTCAGGCTCCTTTCCCCAGGGTACAAAGGCTGGCTTGATTTGTGGGGAAGGCAGTTCTGTGACAAATGGGGAACTTGCTCCAACTATTCAGGTCTCCCCCCTCCCCAGCAGCTGAAACTGAGGCCGTTTGAATAGCAGGGCTGAGGGGCTTGTTGCTGGAGCAGCTTTCATTGGAGGCAAAGTGTCTCTGGGCAGGGAACAGGCTTGGAGAGGGGAGAAGCAGGTGGCAAATCCTGCCATTCCCAAACAAATCCTGCCATTCCCAAGCCCCTCTCTGTGGTGCTGAGGGGCCACACTTGGCCGTGACTAAACAGAAAACTTGTGTCAGTAAATGCTCTGCTGCTCTCAGTGCTTCTCCTCTCCCTCATTTTTCCCTGTTTTTAGGGAAATCTGGTGCTAAAGTGCAGGTAGGTCTTGTCAGATCTGCCTGTATTTCATCATCTGTGATGGATGTGATGCTTAAAGTCCTTTTTGAAACTAGCAGTGGGTTTGTGTTGCTGTGTGTGAGGTGAAGGAGTCCTGGTCTGTGCAGTCTCTCTTCTTTTTTTTTAGAACTCTTTAAGGAGATAATCCTGTAAAGATCTCTGTGACTGCTGAGCCTTGGAAGGCTCTGGTGTGGCTGTGGAGCAGCTCCACTTCTGGAGCTCAGGTCTAACAAGGAGCAGCTGAGGGGAGATCACCTCCCTCAGCTCCCTGAGAGGAGGTTGGGGTTGGTCTCATTTCCCGAGGAATGAGGGAGAGGACAAGAGGAAGTGGCTTCAAGTTGCCCAGGGGAGGTTTAGATTGGAGATGAGAAGAAACTTCTTCACTGAAAGGGTTCTACACCCTCCTGCCTGGGGAGGTGGGGGATTCACCAGCCCTGGAGGTGTTTCAAACTGGTGCTGAGGGACGTGGTGCAGCACTGGACTGGGGAGAGTTGGGTTAATGGTTGGTAGAGCTGGGTTATGGTTGGACTCTTAAGGTGTTTTCCAACCACAACAGTTCTGTGAATCCCTGGGCAGGCTGGGTGGAGAGTTTGGTGCTGCCAACAAAGTTGCTTATCTTCTGCAGGAGAGATAAGGGGAGGGATCTGTGGGGGGGATGAGTCAGAGGAGCCACAGCCTGGAGCTGTGCTTGTGCCAGTCTGGCTTTGGAGAGAGGGTTATGTACCTGCCACCTCTGGAATTTCAACCTTCCAGTGGCTGAATTGTTAAAAAGAGACACGTGGATTTGATTTCTTTTGTGAGATCTGTGAAATCTGTGGGGATGAAACCTGTCCTGCAGAGACAGGACATCCCTGAAATGCAGGAACATCTGAAAAGTCATTGGATCCTTCGACTTGTTCACTCAGTTGTAGCTTGTTTTAATAACACTGGAGGTTTGCTGAGAGGGGAAATAAAATTTCCTACCTTTTGATTTTTGTGGAGACACTTGGAAGGTTTTTCTGGGGAAATAACCAACACTGGTCAGGCTGTAGGAGACTCTGCAGCTCTGGATGTGCAAATTCCTGACGTGATCCTGTGCAGCGTAACCTCAGTTGGTAGCAAAGAGAGTGTTTCCATTAATGTGTCACACAATATTTGTAGTCCCCCTCAAATCCTTTCAGGAGTTAGACAGAATTTATGCCTCCTAATTGCATTAGGCTCAGAGGGTAACTCTGACATTTGAAATTAAAGCATATTGATGTTACACCCAGATAAATTGCTTAACCTTTGTGTGCTTGCTCAGGAAAAGCTGTTATGGATTACTAGTTAACTCCAAGTTACTCATTAGGAAATTGAGATGTGGTGAGTAAGTATTTTTGATAATAACATCATAACCTTTTCTGCTTGGTCTAGGTGGGTTCCCACAGCATTTTGTTGATGTTTTGGTGGAGATCTGAGTAGAAGAGAAGTGTTGGAAGCATCTGCTGTGGGCTCAAAAAAACAATCAGGAAGAGAAAATCCAGTAATGATTCTCATTCCCTGACATTAGGCAACTTAGGTCTTATGAAGAAGTTTTTCTGAGCTGGTCAGGAAAGGAAAAAAATCTTTCTCCTTTGTTGGGGCTAAAAAAAAAGGGGGGTTTCTCTGGAGGCAAATGGTTGTTTCCCTTCACAGAACGAGGTGGAAGTTCAGACATGGCTCTGAAGGGCTCTTCTTTGGTGCCTGAGTGCAAATCATGAGGGATTTGGCATTAGGAGTGGGTTTTCTTTGAGGATGCACAACCCAGGGAAGCATTTTGCAGCTGCAAGTGTTGTCCAAGCTGGAAGGATGACTTGATCCCTCTGGATTTTTTTCCTTCTCTTGCAGGGTTTGGTCCCTTTGGAGAGCACGCCGTGAACGCCAGCTGGATTGCAGTCCAGGTAACTTCATCTCATCCCTAGGGATTTTAACACAGAATCCCAGGCTGGTTTTGGGTTGGAATGGACTTGAAAGATCACCTAGTTCCATCTCCCCCTGCATGGGCAGGGACACCTCCCACCAAACCTTTTAGTTTGCAGATCTTTTATGACTTCTCTTCCTGGTTTATTACCTGAGAGCAGCTCACTCCAGAGATCCAGATGGGAAATGTTTTTTTATCCCCTTCCCAGAAAACAATCCCTGAGCTGGCAGAATTTCATGAGCTGGAGTTAATGCAGCTCAGGCAAGTAAGGAATTTGCTCCTGAAATTTGGAAGATGTTTAATGGGGCAGGGAGCCTGGAATCTTCCTCTGTCCTAGGGAGTGAAAAATAAATAAACAAACACACCCCAGGAGAATTAGAATGTTTTTTTACAGCTCTAGCTTGAAGCTGGGTGAGTTAACCAGCCTTTGAGTCTCATCCCTGAGGATATTCCCACCTCACCCAGTGCTGGTCTGAATGTTGTTGCCTCCCTTGGGGTCTGGGGGGGATCCTGCTGGAGCAGATGGGACAAATCCAATTTGTTCCACTTGTAGACATGTTATTGGGCTGTGTGACACTGAGATGCTCACAAATGAGGCAAGAGAAATCAAAATTCTTGCTAGATGGATGCCTGGCTAAACTCAGGAATTCAGGTTATGGTGGAAAACCATTAGCAAGGGGCAGCTCTGCCACATTATCCCCCTTCTGCCTTATTTGTCACTTCTGGATGTGGTTTATGACAAAGCTCCTGGGAATTCCAAGGTACCTTTTAGCACGGTTGCCCAGGGAATTAAATCTATTTTCCTCCCCACCACGTCTCTCTCCCCTTCAGAGCTCTGAGATTAATATCTTCTTTAGAATGCTTTTAAATTAAATCACAAACTCTAATCAATTACAGTCAACTGGTGTCCAGATGTCTAATGTGTTGGCTGGTGTGAGGAGTTGAAACCTTTGCCTCTAAGAGCCTTTTGGAAATGAATGTCTCAGAGTTGGGATGAAGTTTGGGGGAAAATGTGAGCTGTGTACGTGGGGAAAAAGAGTAGTAATTAGTGGTGGGGTTAATTGATTTGTGCTTACTGGGGTGGTGTCAGTTGTGAACCAGCTACTTTGGTTCTAGAGGTGGGAGACAAAAGGGTGATGATGTGCTGCGGGGACAGGGAGAGGGGTGGCTCCCCAAAACAACCCTCATGTGTAATTCCTGGAAAGAGGAATGGTGTGGCATTCCCGTGGGGCTGAGAGGTAAAGCCACCACCTGCTTTTGAGATGAATTTGAGGGGTTTGGGGTTGGGCTGAGAGGGTAAAAAAGAAGTCAGGTGGGTGCTTTTGGAGCTGCGGCGCCACAGTCCAGGTCCCTCCCTGCCCCGTTGGGTTCCTCACTCCAGCTTCAAGCTGGAAACATGAACTTGGAGGCAGCAGGGAGGATTTTCCTCTCCTCACCCTGTCTCAGCCCAGACAAAAAAAAAAAGGAACAGCATGGCTTTGAGCAGGGGGAGTTGGGCATTGTGTGAGTTGCAGACAGGGGACTTCATGGAGCGGGGTGGACACAAAGGCGTGTCTGAGTTGCTGAAGCCCAGAGGCTGTGATCTGCATTTTAATGTGGGGGGGGGGAAGGCAAAAAAAGAAGGGAAAAAAATCAATTAAACAATCTTTGTCGATCCTTCCTAGCTTGAGGGCTAAGCTAGTTCTGCTTTATTACACCTTTTATTAGCCTGCATCCCGAGGATAAAATTCCCTGCTTTGCTTTCCAGCAGGTTACAGGGTGTCTTTTCCCTCTGCCTGCAGGGAATTGCCAGCACAGCTGTTTGCTTGTGGAAACTACATGATTTTTACACGTGGGGGCCTTCAACAGTGGTGGGAGAGCAGCCTGCTAATGTGAAGATGAAACATTTGGAGAGTTTTACACTTTATGGAAAGTTCCCCTTCACATTCAGAGGGGAGAATAACTTCCTTCTGCTTCCTTTTTTTGAGGCCTGCAGTGAAAATGTTCAGTGTGAACAGGGCTTGGCAGTGTTTTCATCTTTGTAATATTTCATTTGAGGAACTGTTGGGTTCTTTTAAGCTGTGATTTTCTTTTTTTTGCTTGGGGGAGACCTTTCTTTTAAGAAGAAGCTCCAGAATTGAGTGTGACTTAAGGTGTAGACACAGGTGTGCCCTGTGGAGTGTGAAGATAATGACCTCCTCATTCCCCTCCCAAAACCAAAATGCTTCTGGCTGAGCTGGAGGAGGAGGAGGAGAGAGGTCAGGGTGCATTTTGACATTGCTAAGGACAATTGCTGTCAGGGTGTCTAGACAGACCTGATAAGGATATTAAAGGCTGACAAAGAGGAGCATTGTTGAGGGGTCAGGGAATCGGTCAGACACGTTGGTTTCTCTGTGTTTGTCAGGTACACAAGGCCGGGGGTGATAAGTTGTCTGAGGGCCACTGAACATCTTTATTACTGCCTGGGAGTGGTTGGTTAAAAGCAAGTTGGGAATTGGTGAAGCAAAAGGTTTTAGGTGGCTGGAGGAGGTTGGTGGCACTGAGATGGAGCAGCTCCCTCTGCCTGAGGCTCCTTGAGAGCTGCTGGTGAAACTTTCCCTGATCAAATTCATCCTTGGGAGCTGCTGAAAGGGAAGTGATGATGAATTCCTACCAGTGAACACTCTGGAGATCTTCCTAAAGAGTCTTGACTCCTGTTTGATGCAACTCCTGTTTGTAAACTACTTCTTTTCTAGAAACCAGACAAGATTTTGAAAGCAGCTTGGGGTAAAGGAGATGAACTGAGCCCTCCCTCAGCATCCATCTCTGGTAATGAACGTCTGTGGGTGCCAGACACTAATCAATACAGCAAAGCCTTTAATATCAGCCTTGCCCTGAGAGCCAGAGCCAGTGATTTATCATTGTTGTTGCTCATATCTGCTGGTCTGTGAAAGTCCTACTCGTTGCTGTGTATTTTAGTTGTCTTAAATCTTTTTACACTTTGTTCTGTCTCTGCAAAGTGAAAGGTGGGTTGTTTATTTTTTCTCAGTGCAGAGACAACTTGTGCTGACAGGAAAAAAAGGGGCACTACTGCTCGTGTTTATATAGAGGAGGTGGGATCGTAGTAAGGGAGGCCAAAATCCTCAGCCTGTGCTCTCTTTTCAACTGTTTGGACTGTAAAAGAATTTTAAACCTGAGGAAATCCAAGGTGGGAAATGGAAAACTGAGCTGGAAGCAGCAGATCTGGGCTTCCTAGCCTGAAATTTGCAAGGACAGTCTCTGCAGGCAGGAAGAGAGAGGCCAAGGATGGCCTGAAGGAGCAGCTCTTGGCTCTGATCACCTGATTGGAACCTGAAATGGAGATAATATGATAATGCAAAGGATATTTTATAATGCTTTTGGATGGTTTGATGGCTCCTTACGTCTCTGGTTCCACCTCAGATCTCTGAGAACAACTGTGGTGGTTTATGGCTGGGAGAGCTGCAGGTTGTTTTCTGGAGGGGAACACAAGGAATTTTTCAACTGACACGTGTCTTGGAGGAGAGGAGCAGCCCCAGACCAGGAGCTTCTGCTGGGTATGGAATTGTGAAAAGCTGGAGCTGCTTCTTCAAACTGAAATCCAGGCCTGGGAATAGAGATGGAAGAGCTCAAGGCTCCTGCCTTTAGAGAAGGATGGGCTTGCAGCTCCTCTCCAGGGGAGATGGAGCTATGGGGGGACTCCAGTGGAGGATGTTGGCTTTATGGCATGTACAGGCACTTGCCAGTCTTGAAAAGCAGCTGTCAGGTTTTTCAGAGTGCCAAAAAACCCAGTGTCTTCATCAGGGGGAAACTTGATCTGAGTTAGATGCTGTTGGAAATCATTAAAGGCAATAACTGAAGCACTTCAGCTGCTGGAAAAGTGCCTCCTGGTGTGCAGAAGGCTCCTTGGGTTTGAGCTCAGCTCATGGTTTTGTTTAAGAATGTTGGTTTTTAGGGGTGTCCTTTCCTCAAGTTCTGGGAAGTATGGGTTTGATGAGGCTCTGGGAGGTTTCACTTCTGATGATGTCCTGTTCTGTGCCAGACTGCTAAGGTTTAAAGGACCAAAAGAGTGTGGAACTGAAGCCTTACTGGTGAGACTGGAGTGTGAGAGCAAAGCCTTACTGGTGAGACTGGAGTGAGACACCAAAGAAGAGCAAGGGAGTGTCCAGAACCATGGGTTGTGTTTAGAGGGAGCTCACAGCATTGGGATGAAACTGCTTTTACTGGGGGAGGTGGGAAAAAGATCTTTCCTCTTCCCTCTGGCTTGAAAGAAATCTTTGCAAGGGATTTCAGCAACTCCTTGTGTTTTAAAAGGTTTCAAGGAAATTGGCTCAGTTTATTGCCTGGATATTTGGGATGTTTTCAGGGCATGGCTTTAGTTAAGGTTATAGAGGGAGAAATAATTTCCTGTGTCAGGCAAATCACTGCAATGGGAACAGCTCAAGTTGCAAAATTAAGTACAGTATAGCAGGGAGAGGTGAAGCTAGTGCTGGAAACCTGTCCCACATTTTGGGAACAGGCTGTATTGTAATCCAGATTCTGCCAAAACCAAAGGGATCTGTGGAGGAGGCTGTGCAGGGTCTGCTGTGAGGAGAGGGCTGGTACTGTCACCTCGCCCTGAGAGCTCTTTAACAGCAAACACATGGGAACCTGCTCTCCAGGCCAGCACTCCTGAGAGGAGGGGACAAGTTAGAGGATGGATATAATCCTGCCAAACCTCCTTTCCTTTCACAACATCAAGTTCTTTCAAGAAGGGAGTGTAACAATGTGCTTCTCCAAACCGAGTAGCCAGTTCTGTGCTGTTGCTGATCACTCTTTGTCAGTTAAATGTGGATTTCTTTGTTGTACACACATCAGAGCAAACCAAACAGTCCTGTGGGTGATGACTGTTAGCACAGGTGGGGAGATGTCTTTGTTGTGCCCTGTTATGGGGTGGTGTTTTTTCTTTCACAGGGCTGTTTACAAGGTTCTACAGCCTGTGCTGTGGGCTGGTGTTAGTCCCTCACAGCAGACTCTGCTCATAAACTTTCCAGAAGTGTGTCCTGGGCTGAGCTGCTGGCTTGACAGTCTTGCTTAGCTTTATTTCCTTCTCTTCTTAGGAGCTGGAGAAGCTGGGACTGCGAAATGATGTGGATCTGCATGTCTATGAGTTCCCAGTTGAATACCAGACAGTGCAGAGACTGATTCCTGCTTTATGGAAAAAACACAGTCCACAAGTGAGTGAGGAAAGACAAAAGGTTGGAATCTGTCGTGTTCACAGCGACCAGCACAACGTAAAGCCCCATTTTTAATGTGTGTTCAAACTGGGAGCCCCTCACTAGGTCTTTTTTTGGGTGAACATGGGAATTTGTCGGGTTTTTATAGCTGGGACCGGAGTGCTACGAGTCGTGGGAGCAGCTGGTGTGAAGAGGCCACTGCAAAGGGCTGCCCAGACAGCTGGAGGTCACTCTGTGCCACCAAGGCTGTTCCAGAGGTGGGATCAACTCTCAGGGGTCATTCTTAGGCTGGCGACAGTCCAGGAAGGGGGGAAGAAGAGTCATTCCTCACTGCACCCATGAATGCATTAACAAAACGCCGTGTTGCTCCCCACGCGAGAGCTCCCGTGGTGACTCCGAACACTGGGGATCATGGGGATGTGGGTTCTCCACTGGTTGATCTCACTCGTTTCTTTTCTCCTGTAGCTGGTGGTTCACGTGGGTGTTTCTGGGATGGCCACGACCGTGACTCTGGAGAAGTGTGGCCACAACGTGGGGTACAAAGGGCTGGACAACTGCAGGTTCTGCCCGGGCTCCCAGTGCTGCGTCGAGGGTGGCCCCGAGTGCATTGACTCCATCGTTGACATGGACACCGTGTGCAGGAGGGTCTCAGCCCTGGGGCTGGATGTCACTGTCACCATCTCCAAGGACGCTGGCAGGTAGAATCATACAGAGTTTGGAAAGGACCTTTAAAGGTCATCTAGTCCAGCCCTCTCCACAGTGGAAGCTCCTGGGGAAAGTTCCAAGGAGGCCACGGAGATGATGGGAGGGCTGGAGCAGCTCTGGTCTGGAGCCAGGCTGGGAGAGTTGGGGTGTTCAGGCTGGAGAAGAGAAGGCTCCAGGGAGACCTTAGAGCAGCTTCCAGTGCCTGAAGGGGCTCCAGGAAAGCTGGGGAGGCACTTGGGACAAGGGCAAGGGAGGGAAAGGACAAGGGGGGTGGCATTAAAACTGGAAGTGGGAAATTTAGGTGAGACATGAGGAGGGAATTCTTTGCTGTGAGGGTGGTGAGAGCCTGGCCCAGGTTGCCCAGGGAAGCTGTGGCTGCCCCATCCCTGGGGGTGTTGAAGGGCAGGTTGGATGGGGCTTGGAGCAACCTCGTCCAGTGGGAGGTGTCCCTGCCCATGCAGGGGGGTTGGATCTAGATGATCTTTAAGGTCCTTCCAATCCAAACTAATCTGGGATCCTGTGGTGACCGGGTTGAAGCAGCTGCACAGACTCAGGCCCTGCATTCTGCTCGTTATTACAGGGTGTTGCTGCAGGGCTGAGTGCTGAAAATTCAGCTCCTCCTACCCTACAGTCTGCACTCTGGAGTCATCACCTGCTGCTACATCAACTCTTTTGATTTTCTGTTCCAGGTACCTCTGTGACTTCACTTACTACACCTCCTTGTACCAGAGCTGCGGGAGGTCGGCGTTCGTCCACGTGCCTCCTCTGGGCAAACCCTACACAGCAGAACAGCTGGGCCGGGCACTACAGGCCATCATAGAGGAGATGCTGAATGTTTTGGAGCATTCTGAAGGCAAAATCAGTTGTCAGCATGGACACTGAAAGTGGGCCAGGGGAACTCTCCTAGTATTGCACTTCCAAAAGTTTCCCCCCCGCTACCGAAGTACTGGGGAAAACGGGTCTGAAACCCACAGACCCAGAATTGGAGACTTCAAAACCATAAAAAAAAGGAAAATTCCTCTTCTAGAAATTGACTTTCTTTTTTGTTTGTTTGTTTTTTTTGGTCCAATGTCTGCATTTCAGCCTAGGCAGCAAAGGATTCAGACTCTCTTCTGTGAAACACCTGCAAGTCCTGGATTCTGGAGTGTGTGTGCTGTGCTTTATCCAGAGCTTCTGACCACTCTGATCCAGTGTGGATGGGAAGTTTCTTACCTGGACTTGGCCTCCAGGTGCAGGGAATCCATAACCCAGTCTTCTAATGACTTGTTCTTAAGTGGAAAGGTTTGCTTTCATTTTGTTCTAATGGTTTGTTTGTTTGTTTTTAACTCTTTGGCCCAAGTGGGAGGTTATCACCTACATGGTGTGAAAACACTTGGCAGAGATGTGGAGTCTTCAACCTCACTTTGCTGAGGTGCAAAAATATTTTAGGCACTGATTTTTCACCCCACATGGTCCAGATATTGGTAGGGTTTTCTATAATGTCCTGGTTAACTGGGAGCTGCAGATAGAAGGGATGTTGTTTGGATTCCTTTGGTTGTGGAGAAGATCATTTTATACCCAAGATGAGCCAAACTTGCACCAAATGTTTCCAGGTATCTTTTTATTCTTATTAATAATTACAACATTCATGCCACGTTCCTCACTCAATTCAACCATTATACCTCCTGTACAAAGCACGTTGGTCCATGTGTGTATGAAACAAATCATTAGAGGTTTAAATAGCTTTGCTAAAGGCCACTTTTCTCCACAGGAGATCTTGATCCTGGACTCTTGGTGCTAGTTGGTATTTGGAAGGTGAAGGTTGAGTCATTTATAACTTCCTTTGGTTATAAATGTTCACTCCCATGAGAAGAAAAGGTTAAGTGAAGAGGAAAATTTCACTTTTAAACTTCCAGGTTGCCACCTTGATTTGTCCCAGGCAGAAATCCACAAATGTGGATTCAAAGCCATTTTGCCAAATCAAAGTTAAAAAAAAAAATCTTAAAACCTGTTCCCACTGTTCTGTAAACCAGGTTATTTTGGAAAACTTGGAATTTTGCTTAGCCTGGAGTGTTTGGGCTGTTCCTTAGTCTCCCCCTTCCCAATGGGAGGGTGTGAAGTGCTGCTTTTTGTGTGAACTTTCCCAGGAATGAACGTGGGTAATTGGACAGGCAAGTTCTAAGCAGGATGTTCAAGGTGGTGGATGTTGGTCCTGCCTGTGGATTTGCTTCCAAATCACAAGACTCACCTAAAGACAAGACAGTATTAGGGTGGGGACAGACACAAACTGGGCAATTAATGACCAGTAGGTCTCATGGAGGGGCAGAGAACTCTGTAGTTTGATTCTGATCCTTTTCCAAGTATAGAGATATATATAAAAAACAGCATTTTTAAGCCTTTTAAAAAGACCATTGTTTTAATTCTTCTAATGATGAATGATCCTGCTATAGTATCTCTCAGTGAGAGCTGCCATTTTTGTGCTGTTTTCCAGTCAGAGTCTGAGTGACAAAGGAAATGCCACTTCTCCTCCTTTAGGCTTGGGAGAGGACAAAGACTTCTGCAGTTGGAAGGACTTTTGCATGAAGATTTTTGGATAAAACTGGGGTTTTTTTCTGAGGAAATTACCTCTGTATTTACCACACAGGCTTTTTCATCAAAAGGATTTGCCTCCCAAGTCAAGATTCTTCTCTTTTGTGTTCAAATAAAGTAGCACTTGTCAGCTTGTCAGCAGGCAGGCAGACTTTCTGATTAGTAATTTATTCTATTTAATGTTTTGTTTAAATATTCGTGGTTTTGACACATTTGTTTTATTATTTTTTTGCAGATTAGTTGAGCTACTTGTAGGTTGATTGTCTGGTAAGAAGTTTTTGGCATCAGGATCTTAGCTGCTAAGAGAGGAGTGATTCATGTGTTCTGCTAAGTTCAGTGCTTGATTTGAAGTGGTTTTGAAGTGATGCTGTTATTTAATTTACATTGAATATAGTTGTGAAGGAAATAGTGGAAGATCAGCAGCTCAGTGAGGTGATGAATAAATGAGGGTGGAACCCAAGGGGCTGGTGGGAGCAGCAGTGGAAGCCCCAGGGAAGGTTTGGGACATGTCACCTCCCAGGCTCTGTTGGTGACAAATGTGTCTGCTCTGGGGAATATTTGTGCTTCCTTTCAGGGTCCTTGGTGATCCCCCCTGGATGTGGCTCCAAGTTCCTTGTCTCTCTGGGGAGAACATTTTTGCCACCTCAGTTTATCCAACCTGTGGAGCCTCTTGGCCACCTGGAGATGGATTTTCTTGAGGTGTTCTCTGCTGCTCAAAGGGAAGATCTTGAGCTGATTTCCATGACTTGGCTCAGGACAGCAGGGATTGACTTTCTGCCTGTTAAACAATCCCCTTTTGGTTTTTGATTTTTGGAAATCCTTTCCTTTGAGCATCAGTTGGAGCTGTTCATTTCCTCATCGCCTGTGGAGCTTCCATGTGATTGGGTGCTTAGAAAACATAATTTATTTTATAATCTTCTTTTTTTGGGTTTTGGAGACCTAGTCCTTTTGAGCTTGTGTTTGTCAAGGGTGTCTTGGTGGTAGAGAAATTTTATATAGGAAAAAAAAAAAGGCATTAAACTAATTTTATTTAATCTGCCCTAAATTAAATACTTCTTGGTTTTGTTTTGGTTTGTTGTTTGGTTTGTTTTTTTAAAGCTTTTTTTGTTAAATCCATTCATTCCCTAATGCCCTTCCCTGTAGGTGTGGATTCTCTTTGGCCACATGACATCAAACTGCTGCAGAGCTTCAAAGAGCTGATGTTTTGTGTGATGGTTTAATTTCTCCTTTCTCTTCCAGATCATCAATTAATAGAATTTGCTAATTTGCACTGACTGGGAGACCTGTTGCCAACCACAAACCCAGATATTTCTGTGCTAGGAAGTTCAGGTTTAGTGTTAATTACTGTGCCTGCAATTAAGCAAAATAAAGGTACAAGCTGGTTTTGCAGTCCTGGGGCTGCAAAATTGTCTCTGGGGATTCACTTGAGGGTGGAAAAGAAGGGGGTGAGAATATTTGGGGTGGAAGAGAGAATTGGGGAGGTCCCACAGTGTTGGGTCTGGTGTCATTTTATCTACTTGCCAACAGGTTGGAGTAGGAATTGGCTGAAGTGTTGGTTGGAGTTTGGTGGTGACAGTTGAGTTTCAGTGGTGTGGAGGGTTTGGAGGAGCTCCAGGTAACTCCTGAACTCCATCTGGTGGTTGTGATGTCAAGAGGTTTGAATTGGACTGAAAGGTGAGGATCTGCTTTATAAAACAGACCAAAAAATAACAACCCTGTGAGCTTGAAAGTTAAAGCTTAAAAACTTGGATGGGACTTGGTGTTCCTCATGAGTTCCTCCCACCTATGGTTCCATGGTGTGAAGGGGAACACCCATTGTAGAGGAGCTATTCTGGGAGGTTTGGGGGCAGTTTTTGGAAAGACTTTTAAAATCTGGAAAGTTTATTTAATCTCCCCAACCTAGTGGCTTCCTCCTAAGTGTGGCAGTAAGTGGGAAAGGATGGGAAGGTCATGAAGATGGTTAGAGGTATTGAGTGAGGTGGGGACATGAGACTGCAAGAACTTCTGAGCTTTGAGAGTTCTTCCAGGAGGGACCTGGCTGAGGGTGCTCAAAAAGTTGAAGGCTTGATGAAGAGAAGGAAGTTGCTCTGCTTTCACCCCCAGGAGGAGGGAAATCCAGAGGCAAGGTGTATAAAACTGGAGAGAGGCCTGCAAGACAGTTGAGGAGGGACTTTTGCCAAGGGCTTGGAGTGAGGGGACAGGAGGTGATGGATCAAACTGGAAGAGGGAGATTTAGGTTGCACATGAAGAGGAAATTCTTGGGTGTGAGGGTGGTGAGAGCCTGGAACAGGCTGCCCAGGGAAGCTGTGGCTGCCCCATCCCTGGGGGTGTTGAAGGGCAGGTTGGATGGGGCTTGTGCAGCCTGGTCTGGTGGGAGGGGTCCCTGCCCATGCAGAGGGTGGGACTGGATGATCTTGAAGGTCCTTCCAACCCAACCCATTCTATGAAGCTTCCTGGCTGAATCCTTGTGGGAATTGAAAAGCTGTTGGGAAGTGCAGCCTAGGTCCTGCCTGCTTCCTCCAACAGAGAACAAGACTCATGGAGCTCATTAACATCCAATTAGCTTCATCTCCATGGGGTTGTGCTGTGGTCAATCAGGCAGGAACCTCTAATCCTTGGAGTCACTTTCTTGGACAGTCCCATGTAGACGTCGCGCTCGAGCTCCAGCGCCTCTCGCTGCTCTGCTGGTTGTGGGGGCAGAATGGAGCCTCTTGCAGCTGGCAAAGGGGATTATTCCCACTGGAATAAAATCCCAGGAGCTTCCCAGCCTGTGGCAGGCAGCACAGCCTCCCACTGGGATTATTTTGATTGGTGAAAAAGCTAAAAATGTTGGAAGCTTCTCCCAAGTGCTCCAATAATCCTTTGTTGAAGGGCAGGATTCGTTGCCTGCTTCCTTAGGAAGGGCATGAATTGTAGGAGAAGCTTCTTCAAACCAAAAGATGGGAAACCCATCTCAGTGAGAAATGGTTTTTAAATGTAATTTGTCATGTAAAATTGGTAATTAATTCCCCCATGGACACAAGACTAGACTAAAGCAGCTTTTATGCTCTGTCCTTCCATGGTTTAATCTTCCTATGACTCCAGCATCTTTTTTTAACTCGTGGTGTGTTTCTAACCCTCTGCCCACTGAGCTGCTTCCAGAGTGGTGTCAGAAACCTGGAAACCAGGATATTTAGACATAGAAAGTCCCCTCGTGTGTTGTTTGTTTTGTGTTGTTTCGGGTTGTTTTTTATTATTTTAATTACCACCCTGCAGGTAATAAAATTGTCAGTGATTAATTTGTACCGAGTAATTTGTACAGAGGTTTGGGGTGTTTTTTTTTTCCTTGTACAAAGTAACTTCCTTCCTGTTCTCTCCTTTACTAAACTACCCAGTAATATTTTAATGAGAGAAATGTCAGAGTTGAGGAGCTTCCTTTCAAACTGCATCCAGAGAAAATACCCCTCGTTGATACCATAACACACATCTTGACCTAGATGGATTTATTTTTGCACCAGAAACCCTCGTGTTTTGCAGGCTAAAGTGCACTTTTTTTCCTTAAAAAAGAAACACACAAAACCAAACCCTTTATATTCCTGTCGGATGAAACTGAGATTCTGCCAAACCTCCAAAGCTCTGAGGATGTTGTTAGTTCTTGGTTGTTATTAATTGAAACCTGAGATCAGCTTTTGCTCTGTCTGTTTGAAGACAAAGTAGGGAAGAAAATGTCTCCCCCCCCTAGATGGGAATTAAATGGAGATGAAACTAATCACTGCCCTGAAATAGAACTTAAAATACACCTTCAGGTTTTTCTGTATCACCAGCTTCTCAAATGGCAATTGTTTACTTGGCTGAAGCAGGGAGTGCCTTGTCCTGGGCTGGCTGTGGGGAGGCAGAGCAGTGGGGACAGGGACAGAGGAGCCCTTTGCACATGAGGTGGGTGAAAAGTTGAGACTTCCAGCACTGGGTGTGACTGCTGGACCCTTTTGGTGTCCCCTTGATCCAAGGGTGCCCCTTCAGAAGCTTCACTGAGTTGAATTCTCCAGGTTTTTCTGATGCTGAGACCTGGCAAAAATGAAAACCCACCCACTGTTGTGTGTTGTCACTCTCGGTTGGGTTGGCTGGATTGTTCTGTCTCTTCTTGAAGGGTAGATGTTTTGTTTGGACTCTGTTCTGCAGGTTACAGCATCCCTCAGCCCCTGGGGTCCTCCCTTCATTAATCCTCATGAACTAATGAGTTTTCTGGGTGATCTCAGGTGTCCCCAGTCTCGTCCATGTCAGGACTCTTGGAGCTGTGGTTCCGAAGCTGGTGGGGCTTCTGGTGTTTCTTCTCAGTGTGTTCTTGCAGTGCCTTGTAAAAACCAAACAATCTCGTGTGTCACAAAAAGGGCTGTGTAATAAAAGAGCTGGGAACAGACTTCCAGCTTGGGATTGCTGGGCTGGACTTTGTAGCTGAAAATTAAAACCCATGTTTCCAAGGAAATAAAAGAGTTTGACTCTGGGTTCCTGGTGGTTCTTTAATGAGCGTCGGAGGAAGGTGCTTCTCAAGGTGCCTTTTGTGGGGTGGCAATGACAGAACAGTGGTCACAGCCTGAGCAGGTTCCCTAGGAACCTGCTGCTGTTGGAGATGATCCCCTTGGACCTCCTGGATCCCCTGCCCCATCCCACAGGGCTGAGTTTTGCCATGAAGTTGGTGCCATTGAAGCTCATTCTGTTGGAGCTGTTGGTTTTTTGTGTCATTTTAGGCAGAAAAGCAGTTGAAAGTTTTTCTCTTGTCACCATTTGTTGTGTCCATGTGTTTCTTTTACCTTTTCTGGTCTTTCTTTCCACCTTGAGCTCATTTTTCCAGCCTTTCTTTAGCCCACTGAGCCCAACAGAGGGTGGCTGAGATATTTCTGCTGGAGTATTTCTACCATTCCTGGTGGGAAGGAGCAGGGAGCCTGGAGTCCAGGAAGACTCTGCAAAGCCTGCACCAGCACTGGCTGGAGATCCTGGGATCCTGAAAACCTTGGGGAGAAAAAGCTGGTTTGAATTAGTGAGTTTCAGTCTCCGAGCTGGGTAATTCCAGGAGGCAGGATCTGGTTCATCCCCCCCCTCGTGTGTTTCTCACACGAAACCACCAGGTCTGCTCACATGTTGGTCTTGAATCCTTGTTCTTCCCGAGGCAAAGGTGTGATGGAAGCCCCTGCTCAGCGGTGCTTCCAAAGCCAGCTTTGATCCACAGGCTGCAAATCCCTCCCAGGCCACTTGGGAAGGGGCCACGAGGCATTTTCCAGCCAGATTCCTTCTGCCACGGCTCCTTTTCCGGAGGAGGAAGAGCTCCCCTGGGGATCGTGGGAAGATGAGCAGCATGGCTGGGAGCTGGTGCCTCCAACTGCAGCCCCTTGTGTGCTGCTCTCCTGCAGAGCCTCTTGTTTAACCCTGGAGCTCTCCTGGTCTCCTCAAATAGGACCTTTTTTTTTTTTTTATCAAGGGCTTGGAGTGAGGGGACAAGGCAGGGATGGATGAAAACTGGGAGAGGGAGATTGAGCTGAGACATGAGGAGGAAATTCTTGGGTGTGAGAGTGGTGAGAGCCTGGCCCAGGTTGCCCAGGGAAGCTGTGGCTGCCCCATTCCTGGCAGTGTTGAAGGGCAGGTTGGATGGGGCTTGGAGCAGCCTGGGCTGGTGGGAGGTGCCCCTGCCCATGCAGGGGAGTTGGAACCTGATGATCTTTAAGGTCCCTTCCAACCCAACCCATTCTCTGACTCTTGCCCTGCTGGGCTGCTCCCTCACCATCAGCTGCTGGAAGCTGGTTGGGATGTGGAGCATCCTGGCTTTGGCTGAGGACAGGCAGGACCCCATGTTGGCTTCTTTCAGGATGCCACTGGTCCTGACTGGGAGGAAACTGGGGTGGTGGGGAGGGCTGGTGCCACCAGGTGGTGCTGCCATACAGCTCTGGGAGCAGCCTTGGAAGTACAACACCTTGACAGCTTCAGCTTGGTCCTGGGGGCTTCTGGTCCTGCCTTTCCCAAGCTTGCAGAGATGGGAGGGAACAGATGAAGGAACCTGCACCCCCAGTGGAGGTTGAACCTCCCTCCTGATGTTTGGAAGATGTGTAGTTGTGCTGAGGGATGTGGCTTTAGCACTGGACTGGGTGGAGTTGGGTTCATAACTGGACTCAATGATCTTAAAGGTCTTTCCCAACCAAAATGACTCCAGGTCTGGTACCAGAGCCCTGGGACAGGCTGCCCAGGGAGGCTGGGGAGTCTCTGGAGACATTCCAGCCCCACCTGGATGTGTTCCTGTGGGATCTGCTCTAGGTGACCCTGCTCTGGCAGGGGGGTTGGACTGGATGATCTCCAGAGGTCCCTTCCAACCCCCACCATTCTGGGGTGCTTTGAGATGGGGAGACCCAGGGAAGAGGTCACTTGCCTGGAATTTCTCCTCAGAGACCTTAATCCTACTGGTTTTTCCAGCCACCACCCTGCTCTGCCCCCCTCCTTCCTTCCTCCCCCTCCAACCCCTTTGTAAACGAGGTGGGAGTTTTGGGCAGCATCCACCTGGCAGGCTGCTCCTCCTCCAGCTTGTAACTCCAAACCAACCTGAAGCAAAGGTGCTGCAGAGCCCACCCGTGGCTCCTCCAGCCCCTGCCCAAGGGCTCCTCAGAGCTTCCCAGGAGAAACTTGCAGCTGTGGAGCTGGGGAATGGCTGGAATTTCCTGCCTGCCCGGAGCAGCCCTGGCTGCCCTCGCTGGAGGTGGGTCCTGGGTCAGGATTTGCTGCCTCTCACACCCCGGGCTGGGGATGGAAAGGCTCCTGGTGCAGTGCAGAATTCCCTGGATGTGCTTCCCATGCCAGGGGTGATGCTCTGCCCAGGTGTTTCCCTGGGCTGGGGCTCCTCACTGGGACGTTTCCACCAGGCTTCTCTTTCCTTGCAGCTTGGAGGTGCCTCATTATCCCACTCCTGCCTTCCCGGGGATATTCCTGGATATCTTGTCAAGGGAGGGGATTCTTCCCCTGTGCTCCACTCTGGTTAGACCCCACCTGGAGAACTGGTCCAGTTCTGGAGCCCCCAACGCAAGAAGGACATGGAACTTCTGGAGTGAGTCCAGAGGAGGTCATGGAGATGATCCCAGGGCTGGAGCAGCTCTGGGGCCAGGCTGGGAGAGTTGGGGTGTTCAGCCTGGAGAAGAGAAGGCTCCAGGGAGACCTTAGAGCAGCTTCCAGTGCCTGAAGGGGCTCCAGGAAAGCTGGGGAGGGACTTGGGACAAGGGCAGGGAGGGAGAGGACAAGGGGGGATGGATGAAAAGTGGGAGATTGAGGTGGAAATTCTGGAGTGTGAGGGTGGTGAGAGCCTGGAACAGGTTGCCCAGGGAAGCTGTGGCTGCCCCATCCCTGGCAGTGTTGAAGGGCAGGTTGGATGGGGCTTGGAGCAGCCTGGGCTGGTGGAAGGACATCCAGCCCCAACCTCTGCCAGGGGTTGGGGTTTTCTTGGCCACTTCCCAACCACCATCAAGGCTCCAGCTCTTCTTCCAGCCGGAGCTCCCTGTGTGCACAGCCCAGCCCTGCTCACGTTCCAGTGACTAATTCCCACCTGACACAGGCACGTGGAGCCTGGTCCATGCCTGGGGTTCGCAAATAAATCCATTTCTCTCTGGAGGAGGATGGACCATTCCTTCTAAATCCAGGAAAGCTGGAATCCAGTTGTCCTTGCAAGTGGAGAACATCCTCATGCTGGAGCGTCACCACCAGGAAGGTGTTCGGGGCAGCGAGCGAGGATCTCCCCAAACAAGGTTCCCATTTTCCCCAGTTGGACTGGAGTCATTCCCTGCACTTCCCAGGCTGGAGGGGGCTGGAATCCAAGTTAATCATTGACCATGGGTGCAGCAGGGGCAGGAATGTTTGTGTCCAAGTGGAGCAGAAGTCTCATTTTTGGCAGATGCCGTCAGCGAAGGGGAGAAAAATAAGTTGATTCCTGTCGTGATGGGGCAAAAGCTCCTTCTCTGCTCACCTGACCCACCCCGTTGGGCCTTATTTAGAGCTGTCTAAAGGTCAAGACCATCCCAGCTCTGCTGATTGGTCATGACAGCAGCTGGCACTGGGAAAACATGGGATGCAGCTTCCCAGACATCCCAACCTGGCAGCAGAACAAGAGGTCTCATCTCCCACCCCCTGCGCCCATTTCCAGACCTGGAATGAGACAGGATGAAACCAGCCTTGCCCATGGTGTGTCCCATGGATCATCTCAGAGGTAGGATGGGTTCCTTCTCTTCACTCAAGGTTTTCTCACCTGGAATTGCACCTGGAAGTGCTGAAGCTGCCTCCAGCTTCCCTCACGACCAACCCAAAGGGCTGCGTGGAGCTTCACGTGGTGGCAGCAGATCCAGGAAGCTGTGCTGGACCTCGGATGAAAACTCCACCATGGGAAAGTCCTATTTACCTATTTAATGGTGTTTTGCAGGGAATATCCCCCCTCCAACATCCAACTTGCTCCATCTGAATGGTTTTGGCCTAAGGTCCTTTGCCTTGGAGGGATGGAGGATGCTCTGTGGGTCCCGGGGGTGATGTCCATTCCCAGGGGGGCTCTGCCTTTCCTTGGAGGCTCTTGGCACCTTTTCAGGAGCCACTTGTTGCACCAAAATAGACCCCAAACCAGGGGGGTGGGTCGTTTTGAAGCCCTGGTTGCACATGGCTGGTTTGGGGTTTGTCCCCACCTGAAGGTGGGAGCTTCTCTGGTCTTGCTCTGAGTCCTGCTCAAGCTGGTTCAAGGTCAGAGCTGTGACTGGACTCATGTTTCCTGGGGAAGTGACTCTTCACGTTCCTCTTCCCGTTTCTTTGGGTGTTTCAGGGTTTGCAACGTGGCTTCTTCCCCCCATGTTGTGGGTGGCTCTGGGGGGACACTCAGGATGGCACCTCTGTGACCACCCCGTGTCTGGAGGAGGGAAAAAGATGCTTTACATCTTCCCAGCATCAGCAGTGCCTGCTCTGAGCTTCCACCAGCCTTTCCAGCAGCACTTCCAGCTCCCAAAATTCCCAGTTTCTCTGCATGAGGAGGAGCAATGGTGTGAGGACATCAGCTCCTCCTCACCCTCACACTGTCCGAGGTCCAGGAGTCCCCACCCCAATGGCCAAGTGCTCTGAGAAATGAGGTGCTGAGTACCCAAGTCACCCCTAGAACAGGAGAGGGACCCACATCCCTCTGGGAAGCAGCGTTGGATGAACCCGACTTCCTGAGGCAAAACAGGACCCAGCAAGGACCAGTGGGAAGGTGGGATGAGGCTGCACAATCACATCTTGTGGGCGGGTGGGGACATGCTGGGACATTTCATCACAGGCCACCCCACGCTCTGATAAACCACCCGAGCTTCCCGGCCCCTGCCAGGCTGTAAATCTCCCAACTTCCACAGCCGGCGCCTTTTGGGGGGGAAACATCCGGTTTTGGCCAATTTGGATGCGTCACTGGG